TTCTGGTAGAGCACGAAGAGAATTTGACTGCTAGAAATAATCTTAAGGTAAGGGGTGTTTATCTTGATTATTATAATTGATTTAAGGTTTAGATAGTTGTGGATTGTAGTAGGTGTTGGTTGTGAGGAACATGTGATGGTTTGATGAATTAGATGGTGTTTTGTGGTCTTAGATTATAAGCAAATTATACCCATAATATATAATACATTGAATTGTTGATGTTTGGTGAAAAACCTGTGATTAAATGATGTTTTAGGACCTATAATGTTCACAAGTAGCAATATTAAGACTGATTTTTATGCAGGAAATCGCAACAGAAAAACCTTATTCACGTTGTGTCATTGCACGATGTGGTAGCGTCACCGGGTGATGGTGTTGTCGTGTGGCCGTCGCTATGCGAAAATAGCGGTGATGAAGGGCAGAAAAGAAGGAAGTTACTGGAGTGCGTCGCTCTAAGCATCTTCGGGTGAAGGTGGGGGCGATGGAAGCGTCGTTAGGCGATAAAGGTATGTCTTTGGGTGATGGTGTCCTGATTTGATTGGTTGTGTTAAATTTTTTTAAAAGAGTCGTAACTTGAGTTTTAGAACTCGGATTGAGGTGTCGTTCGAAGCTTTGGATAGCTAACGAAATGAAATTCAGTTTGATGGAGTAAAATAAGTATTTTCTTAATACCTAATCTAGGATGATGTTAGGTTCCTTGTGTCGGATTACCATGATGCTTTACTTAATTAAGATGAAGTGACGATGTCATGTGTTGTAACTGGTTTTAAAATATAGAGTCGTCACCCTTAATTTTTATCCTAAGAAAGAGAATATAAAGGTTAACCCTAAAAAAGTTTGAGATTTTAGGTTTTTGGACTCGGTCTCGGATGAAGGGAAGGTATTAGGTACCCTTCATCTACCTTGTTCACAAGGATACTAGGGTTAGAAGTGCGATCTTTGAGAAATAGGTTTTTAATTTTAATTAAGGGAACTCGCCACAATTTCAGTCGTATGCCTACGTATCGTCTTATGAGGAATCAGAGTCCTAATTTGTAGTTTGCGGTGTTTGTTGGTGTTTTTTTTATAGGATTGCATAGAATTGCTTTCGAATTTATCCTTGAATCTTGTCTGAGTTGTAAGTTGAGTGATCATAGACGCAACTCACAGTTGGATTCAAAGACAATGCTATTTAATCCTTTTTGAAAATAATCTGGAAGTTTTATTATGTTAGTATAAAAATGATTTATTGTTGGTTAGCTGTTTTAATTTGATTAAAGTATGTGGTATGACATAGAGTGGAAGAAGTCTGACATAGTCTCCTCATCACGTGGCCAAATATTGGCCACCTGTCATTCACGGATGGTGAATTGGGTGAGTTGCATAGATTTTAGATGTTATATTTTGAATAATAAACTGGTAGACGATGTGTCGACCGATTTAATTACTTGAATATAGACATCCTATTATTTATAGAATGTTTGAATTAATAAGTCAAATATTTAAAAATATGTATAAATTAGTCAATTTAATTAATTAAAAAAAGACCAAATTAACTTAAAAGTAAATATGTTTTTTATGTTTTTTATATTTAAATAACCTAAATAAATAATTAGCCCTTAATACTAATTAATTTTAAAAAATCAGGGGTGTAAATAATGATAGAGTTGGTTATTAGTAAAAGTGTGGAAACTAAAGCCCATGTGGCCCATATTACAACTAGCGTAATTTCTGATTATTATATACAATGAACCAAAAAAATAAAGATAAAAAAAAAAATAATGATACATGAAGGAGGGGAACCGATCCAATCTATAACCAACACCCCATTTTTTATCTGGTTAAATATTCTTCAAATCATTTCTCTCGGCCTATGAAACGTTGACACTTGGACTTTAATTAAAAACAAAAAAACACATTATAACAACACACTCAGGTATCTCTCTTTCAGAACATGGAAAAAAACAAATGAGAAACTCATAACACAAAACCCATGAAATAATAAGGATAAATCATGAAATCAAACCTGAAGGTGATGAACGAAGTTCGCAGTTTGCGTTGAGGCTTGGGAAGTGATGGATGTCGACGGATTTACGGCGATTCACGGTTGGACGGTGGCGGTGGATATTGACGGTGGATAAAATATACACAAGTTATATTGTATTGGTAACTTACAAGAAAGATTGAAAATTGTTGTGTTGTTTGTCTTTTCTCCTCTTCCTGCAAAAAACTTGATATAAGTTGTTAAATCAATATTGTGTTTAACTTCTGTTTTCATTTCAATTTTGATCTGTATGAACCTGCATAAGAAATTTTACAGTCTAAATTTATTGTTAATGTGGAAGTTTGTGTGAAGGTGATTATGCTGATAGAATTTGTGAGAGTTAAAGTGATGGTGGTGATATGTTAAAGTGGTGGTGTTGTTTTTGATTTAAGAAAGTTTGGTTACTGATATAGGAAACTGTTGAAGGTTTGATTTGAAATTTTTTTGAAGAAAATTGGGTGGTAGTTTATGGTAGAAACTTTGAATCTGCAGGGGAGTTTATTTGGTTTTTCCCTTTGGCTTTTGACTAAAGGAAATAAAAAAATTGTCTTAGATCTAAAAGGGTTTTTGATAAAAAAAAAAGGATTTTTTTAGGTGAGAATGTGTTAGAATTTTGGGTAATTAGTGTGTGGAAACTATGTACAGTGTTGGTGGAAAAGTTGTACGTGTGCAGTTTTGTGAATGGGTTAGTGAAGGGCCCTCCGGAAAAATTATGTACGAAAACACAATTTTATAAAAAATAAATAGTCGTCAAATACTCATCATTCGGTTTAAATAACAAACCAATTATAAAATTAAAATTGAAAATTAAAAGGAAGCCTCATATTAAATCTTCGGTCAAGAATAAAAAATTAACACTAATAAATTTGAAAAGCAATTTTAGAGTTGTTGTATGATATAGTCGACAACCTTATAATAAACCAAAAAAAAAAAATTCTAAGAGTTTGGAACGATAGTAAATTTGGAAATGTGGATCTTGTGATTTGTTGATTATGAGAAATTGTGGATTTCCGAATTGTTGGTAAAATTCTTGATGAAAAACTAGGACAACAATGAGTCTTATTTATAGACTTAGAATTAGGTTAAAAGAAAATTAGTGACAAAAAGGAATAGAAAAAATGTTAAAATTGCACCACAAGAGTTTCGAACTCGTGACATTATACTTTCAAGCTATGTATCCTTACCAATTATGCTATGTTATTTATTTGAAATGAAAACCCAATTGAAAGTATATGAAGACAGACAATTATTTGCTATTTTTTAAAAATAAAAATAATTATATTTTTAAATAGACTCGAAAGCGAATATTTATTAAAACCCCAAAATATTAATGTAATTAAACTAAAGAATTTTAAAACCCAAGTTCGAAAATTAATTTGACGTTAGCACTAAGGGCGGGCAAATTTGGGGTATGACATCATGTAATGCTTGTTTATTTATGACGATATTATGATGATGATGCTTGTTTATTTATGACGATATTATGATTGTGATGTTTGTGTATTTAAGATGGCATGATGATACTATGTTGATGATTGTTACTTTAGATGATATGATGATATTATGATGAAATCATGAATGATGATGCGTTTTGACTAGTCGTGGTCATTTTTATTATGTTGTTGCGCATCATGCATTCATGACATAATTTAGGACTTTGGTCTAATGATGTTATTAGGACCCTGGTTCAATGAAAATGATAGGACAATTATCTAGTGAAGGTATGAATCCGATAGTATGGATTGAGTTCAAAGTTGTAAAGTGCTCTGGTTCAAAGCGGGAATCGATCCTATTAGTGGGGATCTTTGGAGATAACGGTGACTGAGTAATCACTGAAGTTTTGGTACCACATGCATGAGTCTATGATGATGCATTTAATTTTAAGTGACATTGCATAATGATGTGATTAAGCGATGTTTGTTGATAAATGATGCTTTGATAATATGTTGTCATGAATTGATGAGGTTGTGAAGGCGTGAGTATAACACGAGATTCTTACGATGTTTGGTGCCTTGCCTATGTGCATGTCTACTATATTTATTCCTTATGTATTTTATAATGATTATGATTTACTCACTCTTTCTGCATGAATGTTGTCTCCACGTGGATAACGCGCAGGTGATTAGGAGTAGCCGTCGAAGCATTAGAGGATAGCTTCGGAGTGTGTCTATTTTATTTTCGTAGAATAAAGTGAGTCTTTCTTTGATATGTAACATCGGGGTTGGGATCGTTTGAATCATGAATCTTGTGTGCTTTGTTTTATTTCTAAGATGTTGGGTTACCTTCCATGGTATCGAGTTATTTTGAATTCTGCTTATGAATCATGAAGTACGATGAGATTTTATGAAGTATTTATAATAAGGTACTTTGAATCAACGATTATGCTGCAAAGTTTTGAAGTACTGAATTAATGTTACTAAGGACATATTTGTCTTAAATGATATTGAGAACCCGTGTTATGCATATCCGAATTTTGAGGTATTTTAGATTTTTCGCCAAAGATCTAGAAGAAGGGTACTAGGTATAAAGAGAAATTTCTTATATTTTGAACCCCTTACTTAGACCCCTTAAAAAACAAAAACAAAAAAGAGAGGGGGTTTAAAAATAAGGGACAAAGAAAATTTTCATTTAATACGGAATCTAAAAAAAGAGGGTCAAATAGGAGGCCTAATTATTAGGGCTTTGCTATTTAGAGCTTTTTTGACTCCTCTAAACTCATGGTTCAAAACATCAAATAACAACAACAATTGATATAGCGAAAAATGAAAGAAAAAAAAGTTAAAGGATTGGAGTTCTTCTGACGGGTCTTCGAATATTCAGGTATAGCTTCAGATGCTCTTCTTTCAACTTCTTCTCTCTTTTCTTCTACTGTGTGCGTTGTTGCTTGGCGATTTGGTTCTGTTGTGTTTGAAATTTGTTGCAAGTTGCTGAGTTGGTTTTACAATTTACAGGTTTAGTGAAGCTTAGCGTAAGAAAAATGGAGGAAGATTCTTCAGAATTTTTGATAGAGATTCTACAGATTTTTCTTTTAATTTTCTCCTTAATTTTCTTCCCCTCCTCTCTTCTATTGAATGAAGCTGGTTTTATAAGTGAATGGATTCAAATTTTTGGATGCAAAAGTGTGGGAATTTTGAGTTTGAGTGAAAAATCAGAGGGGAGAATTTAGAGCCAAATTTTGATTTTGGGAGAGAATTGGTTATCAATTCGTGCCAATTTCTTGAGAGTTTCTTGGACCTTGATTAAATGAAGATGAAGGGATGAGATTAATGGAAAATGTGAAAATTCGTGCCAATGAAGTTGTGAAGTTTAAAATTGGTTTCTCTTTGCTGGAAGCATTGAAACCGTGTGAGCACCTTTGGTGTGGTCCCACTCACATCTTGCAATTTTTCTTCACTCCTATTTTGACATAATAACAATGATATTAATGATAACAAGAAAAGAAAAATTAAATATTGTTAGTAATGATAGAACAAAAAGATCAAAAATAAAATGCAATCATAATATTAATAATTAAAAAAATAATTGAAAATAGTTAGTGATCTAACCTGATCAGACTTGGACCGTCACGGCTGGCTCCGAGCTGAAGTTTTGAACGAGGTGGGGGGTACCTGCAAGGCACTCCGATGCTGAAGTAAGTAAGAGCACGAGCAGGCAAGAGTATGAGTATGGGTAAAGAATGAATACCTGACCCTCTGGGAACAGGGTATTTATAGCCCCCAGCGCTGGGCCAAGATTCCTTCATTGGGCCGGGCAGGTTTGGCCCAATGGAGGAACTGCCAGGTTCTACGTGCGTAGTAGGGACCCGCACGTGGTCCCCTTCCTGGATGTCCTGCGTGAAGTACGGACGGACGAGGACGCGGTCTTTTCGGGATCTAGGTGATGGTGTAGTGGATAGAGTCTGCCCTAGGAGGAGTGCTCGAGCTGGGGTCGAGCAGGATAACATGGAGACGAGGACGTCACACTAGCAGAGAATGTCGGGCACGGGCATGGCCTTTTGGCCGGCGTGACCCCTTGCAAGACCGTTTAGATTGGGCCTTCACCATTGCTTTTGGGCCAACCCGGCCCAGTCCAGAACAGGAGCCCCCCAAGTCGTGGTTCCTGTAGTAGGAGCCATGGCTTGATTTTAGGTCGCCTGCGTCACGGGGTCCCGTTCCCGGCTAGAATGTGTCGTTCCCACGGCTTGCTCGAGGGGGATCTCCCTGTGTCGGGTATACGAGATGATACCGCGCGAGGAGCGCTCGGGGAGACTCAACGGGCTGCGTTCGTTGGGCACATGAGGCATCTCTTGGGAACCGTGCCGCCACCCTACGGACGATAGGGTCATCATTTCCTAGGGGAGATACGCGTCGAGGAGGGAAATTCTGAGGTTCCCCAGGGTGACGTTTGGTATTCCACGTCATCACTATAAATAGGGTGTTTTGGGCCCCAGAACGTGTTTTCCCTGTTCGCGCCTCTCCTCTTCACCCTGTTTCTGCTGTTGCTGTTCTTCCCAGATACTCATAGGACCACCGTGATCTCCGTCGCTGATTTCCTTTCTCCGTCGTCACATTACCTTCCTGATTCCAAGTAAGTGTCTTGTTTCCTTCGTTTTTCCTCTGTGATGCATGATTTTCATTGTTTTCAGACGTTTTAGAGGCTGTACGCCTGGGATTAGCCCGGTAGATTTATGTTTAGCTCGACAATTCCATGTTTATGCCCGACGAACGCATGCTTGCGTCCGGCCAATACATAATTTAGGTGTTAACCAGCAGTGCTGCCCGGGATCTTTATGATTCAGGACGCCTAATTCTTGGTGGTGCTCGGTGGACTCATGGCTCTAGTTTCGAGACCCATGACGTCGCTCGCCACGTTCGTAGCCTGGGTCGGCACATTCGAGAGTGGTCGAGATGTTGGCCTATTCAGGCGAACCGTAGCTTGTCGTGGTGACTGAGAGTCGGGGAGGTGACTGCTATTTTTGGTTCCGAAACACCAACTTTGTGGTCGCGCGTAGAGCGACGTGGTTTGCCGTGCCCTTCACCTCGTCCGTTATGGCGAGCGTGTGGTTTCGCTCCCAATTGATTGGTTTCCCGTGCTTTGTATGTAACCATGGCGGACGAACCGTGTTCTTCAGGGCGCACCGAGGTGGAAGAACAAAGTACTGACGAAAACGTGAATTTGGTTGACACCATAGAGGACCCTCTGCTGGAATGGGTGGGTGCCGAGCCCAGAGGGATAGCTTCGACCTATAGTTGACGTAATCGAAGGGCGTATACCATTCTCGAGGCGGGCAGTAGCCAGCCCAGTTTCCAGAAGAACTTCGTCGTCACTCGACAAACTTTCACAGCCCGAATCTGCTCGAAGTTCCCCGAGTATGGATTCCCCATGTACGAAATTGCGTTCAAGGACCTTGGGTTACAGCTGCCCTTCAGTGATTTTCAGGTCGGGGTCTTCAGCCATCTGGGGCTGGCCCCGTCGCAGCTTCACCCAAATTCGCTCGCTTTCATCCGGGCGTTTGAGCTAACTTGTCGGTTTCTAAGGATTGGGGCGACCATACCCCTCTTCTTCAGAGTCTTCCACCTACAGCGCCAATCCCGGGGAGGTAAGCATAGATGGGTTTCCCTGAAACAGTCGAAGAGACTTTTCAGGATGTACATGGATTCTGTGCGGGGTTTCAAAGACAAGTGGTATATCGTGAGGCCGGTTACCACAGCAGGTTTAGAGTCTGTGTATGAGGAGGAAATAGTCATAACCGACGACCACGGGGAAGCCCTATTAGACGACGAGGGACATCCGATGTTAGGGCGCGTGGCCAAATTCCCCTTGCATTGGACCTCGAGGCATTACGAGCACAGCACCGGGTACTACCACACGTCTGCGAGCGAGATGAGCTCCGAAGACGAGAAGGCTTATGCTACTCTCTGTCGGTATGTCAACAGTTTCTTCCCCGCCAGATGGGCCACGAGGGAGGGGGGGATATTTTGGACGAGGAAGGTTATCCGACCTTCGAGGCCCGACCGATTGACACGAAGGCACTTGTGGAGTGCCAGTCCTTCGGGCAGGCTGTGAATTTGCTAGGTCGTTGTTGTCTTGTTTGAATTTCTTTATTTGTTATTTGTTTGCTTGTTTGCTCGTCACTAACTCGGGGTTCTTTTATGCAGGTCTGATGGCCGGACGGAGGGAGAGGCTCTTGAAGTTGTCCTGTGATAGGAAAGTGAATAAGAGGGTGGTGAGAGCTCCTTAGTCGACGAGGATGGGCCCGCCACATAGTCCGGGCATTCCTCAGGCGACGAGGGTGGACTCGCCACCTAGCTCGGGAGCTGCTTCGGGAGGGATCCCGGACGTCCAGGAGGTCGAGCCACACACCGACCTGATACAGAGGAAAAGGAATCGGGTGGAAAGCCAACCAAAGGTCGGGGAGGACTCCAGCGCTGTGAGGTCCTTCGGGTTGCCCCCTTGCTTTAAAGAGGAGGGTTTCTTCGAGGGGTTTCCCTTGTCCGTGAATGTTGATGAAGCCGAAACTATCAGGCGGATAAGCAAGGAAAACCGGAGAAGGCACCTGGCCGCCAATATGACCGGGCTGGTAAAGATGGTCGAGATGGCCGTTGTGCTGGCCGAGGAGGGGGAGGACGATGACCGTATCAAAGAGTTGGAACAGGAGAAAGCTTCCCTCACCTCGAGTTCGCGAAAGTTGAAGGCTGCTCTGGAGTGCTCCGAGGAGATGTTCCGCGAGCAAGCCGAGCTGCTGGCGGTGGAGACAGGGTTGTTGGCTCTGGAGAAAGAGAACTCGGGGAAGCTGGCTGAGGAGAGAGACCTTTTTCGTGCGGACCAGGAACGTCTGGAAACTGACAACGGGCGCCTCGCCAGAGAGATCGAGGACTTAAAGGCCGCTATGCTTCCTGCCGAGGACGAGTCGGAGGATACAGCTCCTTTGAGGAGTCGGTCGGAGCTGGTCGCTCGTATCCAACTTCTCGAGGGGGACTGTGTCAGAGATATGGCGGACGGTTTTGAAGCCGCGGTCAGCCAGCTTTCCCTGTTGAATCCCGGCCTGAACACTGAAGGGGTGAGCCATATGTCTCAGATCATTGATGGTCAGGTCGTGCCTCCGCCCGACTCTCCTGTTGTTGGTGATGATAGCTCCGGGGAGGCTGAGTTGTGAGATAATGATGGGGCCTGCGCGCCTCGTTGATGTTTGTTTTGGGCCTGCGTGCCCGTTCACATTTTTTGGGCCTGCGTGCCCGTTCTTTGTATTTCCTGAACATTGTCGGCCTTCTTGGTCGTTTTTACATCTATTTGCTTTTGTTGCCTACGGGCATTTTGAATGAATGTTCATTTCAATTTTTTGATTGCTTGCCCGTGCTTGTGTTTTACGTTTTTGCGCAAAAATTGGCCTAAGTTATGGGCCCGAGTCGTGCCCGTATATGGTTGTGACTTTGTTGGCAAATTTGCCTGTCTTTTGTTCGTGTATGTGCTCGGCCTCTTCTCGATGGCCAGAGTCGCCTGAGTGGTGAAATCGAGGGGAGAGACTCCTTTTTTACCCTTTTAGATGGCCCGACGTTCTTCGAGATTCATCGGGCGTGCAGAACGAAGCCGCTTGGTCGGGTATATGACCCGGTCGGGGTTATTTGCCCGCGGCGTGAACTGCCCATCGCGAGCTGGGTGTTCTGCCCTACAGGTACTTCGACGGTGGAGCTCGGTAGAGGTGTCCACGTCGGGCACCATCGTTTGTTCTTGTTTTGTTGAACGATGTTATGCGGTTTGGACGTAGGTCGGGCCTGTACCTTGGCCTCTCTACGGGTTCAGACGTTTCTCCTCGTTGACTGGGCGCGGGAGTCGACAGTCGAGGGTCCCCAGTCTTGGTGGTTTTTAACTATAGTACTGCTTTAGTTTAGCAGCGTTCCAGGGTCGTGGTAGTGGCTCTCCGTCTAGTCGCTCGAGGTAGTACGCCCCGGTACCAGTGGTGCCGTGGACGCGATAAGGCCCTTCCCAGTTCGCGGCCAGCTTCCCTTCGCGGGAGTCTTTCTGGTTCCTTTGTAATACCAGGCTGCCGATTTCGAACTCGCGCTTAATGACCTTGTCGTTGTGGCGCAGAGCCACTCGTTGTTTTAGGGTGGCTTCGCGTAGGGCCGCACCAGATCGGATTTCCTCGACTAAGTCGAGCTCGTCCCTGAGTTCCTCGTCGTTCATTTC